TTACAAAACATTTGTGCATGGGTGCACATGCATTCACACACCCACAGAGGCAAAGAGAGATTCACCATTTCTCCTTTTAATATTTTAAACTTAAACTAGTTGTAAGATGGAGGATAAAACATGTGACAATATAAGAAAATTCTCACAGATTTCTCAGAGTCATTGCTTTTCCTAATTGTAAGGATACTCAATGCTACATAGGGAGAATGGAATAAACAGGGCCATTTTTAGTCTTCTGCTTTCCAAGGTACTTTTGGGGACATGTAAATATCTATATGACTGGCCTCTGGAACAAGTGAATCGAGTAATAGGTGGCTGGCAGAGTGTTGGGTGGCCCCTGTCTCAGTGAATCAGTTTGTAACACAAATGCCTAAACACTGACATCCTCTGTAACAAATGGTTTGTTTTGTAACCTTTTTACAAACTGCATTTTCAGAAGTTGATGTCACTTTTGTTGTGGAGAGAGAAGGTTATTTTCCTTGCACAAAGGAGGCTAAAGACATGTTAGGATGAGGAGGAACTGCTAATTTACAAAGTACAGGCAACCACCTTTGTTGAATTCCCCCCCACTAGACCAATGTGAACAAATATCTACTCACATCACTAAGAGCACTGGTGACAGACAAAGGAAATGGTTTCATTGAAGTCTACCTTTGTCAGTCAATGAGTTTGTTGGGAATATTTAGGGAATCTCAGCTGTGGTATTACTTATAGGAATATGGCACCCAACAGCCCTATGGTTTCTGACTATTCTGCATTCTAAACCATGTAACAGTTTCCTCTGTCAAATGTTTTTAATGTCTGGCTTTGCTCTTTTCACAGATGGTTTTCCAAGATTGTCAGACATTCAATGGTGAGCATTATATAACTGATCCCTGTTCCACAGGGTGGGGAGATGATTTGAAGGCCTACCTTATTGTTTTGAGAGCAACTGTGATTTCATCTTGGAATTCAAATGATGCAGTGGAGTGGTACTTAAAATAGAAATTACAATAAAAACAGTATTTAATTACAGAAATGGGCAAAAACCTACCTCATACCTTGTATCCATTAATTTAGTGAAAAATGAAAAGTGTATACAGTGTCATGGATGGGAGACACAGACTGTTTCAGGTCTCTGAAATTCCCAGCCATCTTCCTACTGTTGTAAATAATTTAATTACATTAAAATCTCAAATGTAAAAGAAAATAAATTATCCCAAGACACTGTTTTATAGCTTTGGAATTTTGAAGACTTTCATTGCAGGACAACACATTTCTGAGATGTAGAAGGACAAGAAAGCAATTAAAGGCTTCCAAATGTGAGGAAAGGGAAGCAAGGGAATTCTTGCTGTCCTTAACCTGTCTTGGTAACAAATGATTTGGATTTGTTTCAGATTTTGTGTGTGTGTGTGTGTGTGTGTGTGTGTGTGTGTGTGTGTGTGTGTGTGTGTTTTCGAGAGAGAGAGAGAGAGAGAGAGAGAGAGAGAGAGAAGAGAGAGAGAATGTATGTATATATGTGTGTTCATGGCCATTTATATGTGTATGGGTGCTAATGTACATGAGTAAGCATATGTGTGGGCATCAGAGAAGGAGCTCAACTGTGTTTCCTTGGTGACTCACCTCCACATAGCTAGAATAACAACACATGATTCCACAGCTGGCTTTTTACATTGCTGCTGAGTAGGGAATTCCAGACCTCTGGTTATAAGCCAAACTCTTTACTAACTCAGTAATCATCCTTTCTCCATTTATGATTTTTGTTAATTTTGCTTTTAAAACCATGTTAGAATCCATTAAAAATCATATTTTCTTAGTATAGTGCTTGGACAACTTTGGTATGGCTACTGAAACTATATTATATTTTCCTCTACAAATATATCCATTTTAAATTATGCATGTTTTAAATCAAAGTATCAACAAGATATTTTCATTATCTTCCACAAGAATTAGAATTAATTTAATAAAATGTTAATTCATGTGTTTTTAATCACATACTGATAGGTTCACTAGACTTTTTGCTAACAAAATTTTTCCTTGGGGTTCATTAAACATGGATGATGAAACTAGATAAAATATGTTACTTAAATACAAATCTTGTGAGCATCATATGATTAATTTCCATCCAATTTTTCTTTGACCAAACACAGCATAGTCATTCACTCTGGAATCCAGTATCCAAGAAAGACTCTTTTTTGAGTACTCTAACCCATTGCCTCTCACTAACAAGTTTTCGAGAGCAAAAACATAGCTACTGGGATACAAGTTGTTCCTCGGTTCCAACTGCTTTTAAATTACTCCTCCCCACTTTTCAGAGCTTTTTAACACTTGGAACACATAGGAATTTCAATTTTACAAGCCAGTGGTTAGAACACACACAGCTGGACATCTGTGGTTGCAAAGCAGGCTGGGAAAGTTCTCAAAACGACAAAAGAAATGAGAGTGTAATGATTAGTTTTAAAATGAATTCAGGCCTGGGGCTATGAAATGATCAAAGTCAGTGTTGAAGTGGGAAGGAAAGAATACATAGAAATAACAAAGAATTTTTTACTATATACATATTCTTCCCGAAACCACAGCACAGTATTCTAAGTCCATTTTTTTTATAGATCTTTAATCTAATAAATAACTAAAATTCAATGTCTTGTAGCTGTGGTTTTTCTTTGCAAATCTAATAGTCAAATGGCATTCAAAATATTTCACTTGTTTGGGATAGATGGATTTCTAGATGAAATACTCAATGTGCAAATAAGAAGCTATAACTCAGAGGTCTTGCTCTATCCAAATTGCTGAGTAAAGAGCTCCAGTATCAAACAATAATGCGAGATCATTGAGGACAACATACTGGGTGGTCTATTGGGACACAGGTGCATATGTGTACACATATGAACATAAGCAACATAAACAAACACAGGAACATGTATACATTATAAAATAAAATATTTCAACACTATCCTGAACTGTATTTAATATGATCTTGTTAAGTAAAATTTACATTAAATGGAATAAAGCACTAAAAGCTCATTCCTCTACTTCCTTAGCAAAGGTTATACTTGAAAATAGCAACATTTTTTAAATTAAATACAACCTGGAAATTCCTTCAATAACTTCTGAAGAAATAATTCTGATTTCCTGGTGCATGTTGAAAATGTGATAGATATTATCATCTTGTTTGTACAATGTTTTTCCAACTAAAATCTTCATAATGTCTTGATGAGATTGTGGGTTCCATATTTCTATAGATTATAAATGTAATAAATAGATTGCCTACTCAGAGAAAGTGACATTTTAGCCAATGACTGGCTGGATTCTGAACAGTGTGATATTTCTCCCTCTGTTAAGATCAAAGGGACACATGTGTGCTTTCATCTGGCTTTGCAGACTGTGCCCAGACGATGATCTAAACACCTGATCTTTAACATCTATACATTATTAATCCTAAAAGGCATGCCCACAAATAGACATTTCAGTGTATTGCTAACTATTGTCCAAAATTAGCTTTGGCTCTTCTTAGGGACAATATTTACTAACAATATGTGCTGCAAAATGGGCAACACATTCTTCTACCACTGAAGCACTTCTTGTAGTTATATAACATGTCACTCTGAAAAATAGGGCAAATAATTGCTACATTGATCTTATAGGTACCTATCAATTAGAAGTACAGAAACTGTTGAGCCTATAATATAGGATTTTTGTAGATTTTTGGCTTATTTCTACACGATTAAAATATTCTTTGATAATGTCATTAATGTATAAAATGTATCTCACTTATATTCACTCTCTGAGTTTTAGTTTCCTACTCCCCACCAGACCTCTCATTATAATTCCTTCCAAATTCCATGTCCTCTTTCCGTGATTAATTAATTATCTAATTAATAAATTATATTTGCCCACACTAGGTACAATATGACATTCATTTACAAAAGTGTGTGGTATCAGCCACTGTGTCAAGGAGACCTTCCAGAGGCCATACAGTTAATGTAAAGTGATTCCCTTTCCTTAAGCAGCCGTCAATGACCAAAAGCTGCTTATCCATTGGTTGGATCTCAGGAGCTCCACCCAATTCCCAGTTCCATGATGAAAATTTTAGCTGAATTAATGTTTTGCATGTAACTCCAGATGCTGTGAGTTCTGTGTGAAACTGTCATGTCAAGTCCAGAGGACAGCATTCTTCGCCAACTTTCACCTCTTTCCCTCTTCCCATCTCCTATTCCTGGATCTTCTTTGAGCCTTGGCAGGGGGACGTTGATAAAAATGTTCCATCTATGGCCAAGCATTCACTGTTGCTTATTCTAAGAACTTCATTCAATGCATGTTGAATTATTCACTAAAATATGCAAAAAGAAGCTTCTCAATCATATATTTTAAAAGGAAATTGTGGAAAATTCATCTATTATATTTACCACATTATTTGGTGAAGAAATCAGTGAGGTGACAGAGTTCATTTTAGTTTTCCACAAATATTTCTGTGATCTCTAGAAGTACTTTGATCTTTTTTATTTGTTTTTAGTGTGTGTGTGTGTGTGTGTGTGTGTGTGTGTGTGTGTGTGTGTGTGCATGAGTGCAGATGTCTTCGGAGTCTATAAAAGTGTATCAGAATCCCTGGAACTAGAGTCCCAAACAGTTTGTTCTAGTGGGTGCTGGCAACTGAATTTGGGTTCTGTATAAAATTATGCATTCTCAAACACTTGAGTCATCTCTGCAGTCCCATGATCTTGAAAATACTAGAGCAATTGTATCAATTATTTCAACTTTATAGTCCCTGACAGTCATTTTTCTGTTATTTTTCCCTGTTGGCTATATGCATTTGGGCTCATAATATACATAGCACATAAGTAGCATAAAATGTACATTTTATGAAAGTCTTCTATAAGTTACCACAGTGTTGTCAAGATTCATCAATTTTATAAGATATGTCTGAATATCCTTTTTAAAGTAGAATAACTTTCTATTATAAACATCAATCTTGTTATGATTAGCTATTCATAAGCTAGTACACAAATGTGTTGGTTCTACTACTCAAAGCTTAGTAATAATGATGCTATAAACATAGGTATACAATTACCTCTTCAAGTCCCTGTTTTTAGTAAATTAAGGTATGAACACAGGGAATTCCTGAATTATATATTTTTTATTTTTAATATGAATGAGAATATGCATATATGCATATATGTATGTGTTTGTAATACACATATAGATGTATATGTAATATAATATGTATATGGCTTTTATACATTCATATGCAATTGGGCCTTGTGGAGTTCAGAGGTATCTTCAGATGCTTGTTTTCTCCGTGCACCGTTGTTTTCCGAACTGAAGTCAATTTATCAGGTTCATAAGGCAGCTGTGATTGCCAGCTGATCCATTTTGACAACCTGATTATAGGGACTATCTATGTTTAATATAAGATGAGGCTATCATCCTTGTTTCCATAAGACTCTACTCTGCTACATTTTTCAGTCACAGTACAAAGGGTTTCATTTGCTCTGAATCCCTACCTGTCCTTATCATCTGATTTTTTGACTACATCTTAATGACATCAATGAAAAAAGACTTTGAAAGTGTAATGATTAGGTACAGAGAAACGGCTTAATTATAAGAGCACTTACTATGTAAACAAGTCAGTGATGGCACATGTCTTTAATCACAGCACTCGAGAAGCAGAGACAGGCAAATCTCTGAGTTCAAGGCCAACTTGGTGAACAAATCAAGTTGCAGGACAGCCAGGAATGCTTAGAGAGAAACCCTGTCTCAAATATATAAATAAATAAATAAACAAACAAATAAATAAATAAATGGGAAAAAAGGACCTGAGTCCATTTTTCCATAACCACATAAATTCTTGTGAATTGTTCAAGTACACTTGTAATCTCAATCCTGTGGTTCAAAGAGACGGTAGGGTACCTCGGCCTATTGACTGATATTGTAGATGCAGGTTCAATCATGAGACACAATTTCTCAGGTTTTAAATGTGGGAGTATTAGAATATCTACCATCATCTTTTGGCTTCTTAAAACAAACA